GAGCAAAGGATTGCAGGGTCATGTTGACCTGCAGTTCCTGCCACAGAAGACACGCTTCAAGCATATGCAATCCCAATTACCGCAATGTTTCAACCACAACGAGAAATTCAGAAAGTGCCACAATGCACGTTTCTACGAGTGCCCTTCCTTCCTTCCTTCATTGACTCATCATTCAGCAACTACCAGTTAAGGACAAGGCAATCTACCTGTGGACATTTTGCGTTGACGTGATTAACAACGGCAAAAGCAAGTGCATTCACGAAATTCTGGATGGATGTAGCCAGACAACTTTTATTTAGGAGGACATAGCTCGCAAACTCAACTTGAGTGTGGTCCGCAAGACGCATCTAGCGCTGGACATCTTCCGAAGCATGTGTTGTTCTGACGCAGGAAACCACAACGTCGTTGAAGTACAGCTTCGAAGCAGTTCCAAAAAGTCTGGGTTTTGCTTAGAAGCTGTAGTAGTCCCAGTCATTTGCCAAGATAATACTGTACCTTCGGCTGAGAACGAATTCATTCGATCACCGAGAAAACAAGGCAAGCGGCTGGCAAGTGATTACTCAGCAAAGGACAAACGAGACTGAGATCGGCTTGCTAATAGGATCGAATTATCTCAGGCAAGTAATTACCGGCACAGTCATCCGATGCCCAGACGTTCCTGGTTTAGTTTAAATGGACACCATATACGGCTGGACTCTACAAGGACCAGTCAGCCAACAGAATTCTTTAGGCTATGCAACTCATGTCATCAGCATCTCGCGGGTACATACCGCACAGGAGGAATCTACAATAGAGATCACACAGTCTTTTCCGAATTATCACTCTATGGGCACAATTGACTACAGCTTAAATTTCTTTGACCAGAAGCTTCGACAGAGGAAGCAGACGAGCAAGCAGTCTGGCAGCCGACAATACGCAGCACTACTGTGTACAGGCGGCCGCCATAATCGGAGCGACGACCTCATCGAGCGGCGAGTGAAGTGCGTATGTTTGCGGCAACAACAAGGTCTTTCCCTCTAGAGACAATACGTCACAATTTGAATAGCGTACACGGTGAAAACAGAACAGCTGCTCGGAGATCTTAGCAGAGTTGCTATGTCGAGCACTTGCCTCGAGGAACCAATACTCTTGAAGAAAGACTACAAGTGTACAACACAAGGCCAAATGTGGGCAACTCCGAAATGAACCTCGAGAAATGGAAGACAAGCCGTTCAATGATATTCGATTTCTCTCCACTATGCCCTGCATTACGACTCGTCAGGAATCCAGTCCCTCTTCACCTGGATCTCAGCTCGTGTGACAACAACTGCGCCACTGGTTCCCCGGAATGATTCTCTCCGTAAGCTGTGCTGCCATCAGAGGCTTCAGTATCGTCCTTGGGTGAGATGGAAAAGGGAGTATTGAAGTATCGTGACCTCCGCATGGGTATCGCCAAAGTTTGAACCAAAGTCGAATTGTAGACTATGACATTAAACTGCAACACGACCGGAAGAATGGATGTTTTTGGTCGCTGCCTTGAGTGAAGCAATTACATCCTGTTCGTGATGGGCTAGTGTGGTCTTGCTCCACCAAAACACAAGGCAGCACTGTATGCAAGAGGCCCGTACATACTGTATGGACTAGACTTGCTTTGTACCTCTTGTGGGCTGGGACAGGATGTTTAAAATATAATAAATTCTGCCAGCCAGTGGTGAAGGCAAAGAAGAAAAAGTAGACAACGTTCTATCATGACGACGATGGCTTCTGTCTGAGCTTTTCTGCGCCATTTAACGTCTTAGCGTCCACAACCTTGTTTTGTTCAACTTTAAGTGGCTGCTATCGTCATTGAACTTTTCTTTCAAAGTTTCAGGGCATTGTCGAAATTCATAGGAGCCATCCACTTTCGTGCGATTTCTCGTGAAACGTTTTTGTCTGCTGCCCAACACAGAATCCTCATCATATCTGACACGCAGACTCTCCGGATTCCCAATTTCTGCGAGAGAATCCCAAACTATGTGTTTTTTCGATGCAGGTTCGAAGTAGTGCGACACTTGAGCAATGGAGGATTTTTCCCGAGACAGGTAGTGGACTTTGCCCAGTCCATCCTAGTTCACTATGTACAACCTTTAGGTCTTTTCATCTGTTGCACATGCTTCTCACGTCACCAGTCGCAAAACATCAGTAGTAGTCTCTACTGACAAGCAAATGTAACCTACAAGCAAACAAACAGAATTGTTGTTCTCTCCTTTTTGACAAAGGGCTCGTGTGTCCAATCTAATTTCATTCATCTTCTTGGTGACTTCGTCATCTGAAATTGTAATGTTGTTGCTATAGATGTGCTCCGCTTCTAAGGCGTCAACTACAATCGGCTCCTTCGCAGTTTCCTCCAAGACGCTCACATGGATTGTTCTCATTATTTTCTCAGTCTTCACACCTTCGAATACTCCGGCAGTCACAAATTCTTCCAACAGTTGACAGCCCAAATGGTAAGATGATTTGATGGTGATGAAGTTTCGCTGGCTTCCTCCATTGAAGAGTAAACTGTCGTTCTTTGAAGACACTGTTCCAGCTACTCTGGCTATCCAGGACGGTAATGTTATTACAGGGCTTGCTTTTTCGTAGAGAAGGTTCGAGACATCGAAAACATCGCCCTGCTTTGGTGAGAATCATTTTCTTGTCTGCCAAACTCACTTTGTTTTCATAGACTTCGGAGCGATACTTCGATGACTTGCACAACAGGCATAGGTGAGGCTTTGCTAACACACTTGATAGAGCTGCTGCTGATGACAAGATTTGTTGTCCTTCTTGTCGTGGTATTTCTGCAGCTTTCTGATCGACCACTGGCCTTTTCAGGTGCGTATATGACACCAGAGTTTCTCGGCTGTGAAGATGATGATCGAAGTACTCTAGAAGTTTTTACAGCTCTTTCTGTGCTTCCGTCGTCTCTTCCTCCGAGTCTCTTTGAACTTGAGTCATCGATACTGCAACGATCGTTGCCATTGGCTTCTAAAGTTCATAATACTTGAGTACCAAGTCTGGTGGCATGACTCGCAAGAGAGTCTCCTGTAGCATTGAGCAGAATGTAGAAGGACTTGTTCCAAGCGCTTTCAGACTTCTCATATGTACTTGTACTTCGTCCTAGAGTTCTCGAAGTTTAGTAGTGCTAAAAGACGAGAAGACCGGCTGGAGATCTAAGAGGCTTCGAAGATTTTGCTGCATGATAGTCCTCTCATCTTTGAAGTGTCTCTTGAGGATGTCGGCTAAATCTTCATATAGCACTTTCCTGAGGCTTGAAGTTCAAATTATGGCTGCAGTGGGATGTCCAGTGACAAGTGTGCTCAAATAGTTGAACTTGTAGGCAACGCTGAAGGCGTTATTATGCACTGCCATCAAAAACTGCATTCGAAATCATTGCCAATGCTCTCGACTGCCATCGAAATTCTGTAGTTCTAGTTGCGGCTGTCGCAGCCGGACATTGACGCAAGCTTGGCTCGTCATCGGGTGCGAAACCTGGGATGCATGTTCGTTCTGAACAGCAAAGCACAGCTTGGCATTAGCGTGACAATCTTCTCCCCGTAACTGCTCGCGTCTATCATTGCTTTCTCAATAAGCTTGTCAGGTGTCTCATCTATGATGCTGTCATCGATCTTCAATAACTGATCGTACATTGCCTTAATTCGGTCGATTAAAATGCTGACCTGTGATGATGATAGCTCTTGTTCCAGTAGGACGCCTTCTGCTTCTTGTTTCAATGGTATCCAGTTGCGAGCGGAAGCACTTGCATCGTCGGAGTAGCCGTTACATCATTCAGTCAGCAGCCAGGAACTCTTTAACAAAGGTTCAGGGGTCACCACGTGACACCTTGAATTGTTGAGATTGGTGTCATTTAGAAGATTCTGTGGGGTTTCGGCACCATATGGTGGACCTTGATGTCTGCCTGCTACCGGGCTGTGGTGCCGGAACAAGAGACGGCACGTCCAAAACAAATGCTCTTTTAATGGAACAACAAAAAGGAACTGATGCCTTCGTGCCCTTGAGCAAGCGGCTGCTTTTGAGGAACACAGGTGATAATGAACGTCGTCTGCTAAGCTGATGAAGTCAAAGTTCCAATAAGTAGCTTTTTTGGCGTGATAATTTTTTCCCTTATTACCCATTCAATTATGGGAGGTTACTACTGTGACCGACGACACATGGCGCTACATGCAGATGTCCCCAAATTGTGCTCATTATATATTATTATTATTATTATTATTATTTATTACATACTGCTGACCTGTTTACCAGGTCTTATGCAGGAATGGGCATAGAGAAGTAATTACTGCAAAAACATAATTAATACCACACAACATAATTACAGTGGTAATAATTGTAAAAAGCCGAACAGAAAGGGTAATGTACAATGAAAAAGAACAGAAAAAGCATACTATTCAACACTTTTGTAGTAGCTTGCGAAAAAAAAAGAAAAAAGTCCAACAATGGTAACTCTGGGCTACATGACTATATGACTCATGACTATACAAAAAGAAAAAAATTTCTTAGTGATTGTTGAGAGCATGTAGAAATAGATCAACTGTTGGATGCTACACAGTATCGGGTGATAAGCAATTCCACTCATAGGTGGTTCTTGGAAAAAAGGAATACCTGAGTGTGTCTGTGTGGTTTACGTAATCTACAACTTTCTTTGAATGATATAAGCACACAGAACATTCACTTGCTTGTGTATTGTGCACTGTTTGGTTGATTCCAATTTTGTTGTGGAATAGATATAAACTATGGCACATACCCATGAGCGGGTATGTGCCACACGTCTGGTGGGAAAGGTTTGACGACGTTTGCGATGGGATTGCCCTTATTCATGTCATGACCAGCTGTTCATATTCGTCAAACCATCTTACCCTCCCATTGCTGGTTTCGGTCTACACTAAGTTGAGGGGTGATCCTGAGAGTACCCAGACTTAGCGGCTAGATAGACACACAGGTACGTAGTTAGACACTCCAAGTGCATATAGTACACAAAGAAATGCTTTGCATTCAATAGTGCCAGTATATTTCTGCCATATTTCATGCTGCATTGCTTATCTTGGTGGCGGAGAGACACAGTCCTGTCTTTGGTCCCGGAGTTTCGTAGGGTTGATGTGGGAAGTGAATCGTTCCTGGGAGGCGACGTCGGGAGTCCTAGAGGGTCTTCACTGTCGTGAATGGCCTGCATGATATGAAGGCACAATTTCCGACAGCAAAAATGTTGGCACGTACTTAGCACCGCTCCTATATGTTGCTTGATTACATTCAATAGCGCCAGTATGTTTCCACCCCATTTCATGCTGCATTGCTTACCTTGGTGGCGGAGAGACGCAGTCCTGCCTTTGGTCGCGGAGTTTCGTAGGGTTGATATGGGAAGTGAACCGTTCCTGGGAGGCAAAGTCAGAGTCCCAGATGGTCTTCATTGTCGTGAATAGCCTGCATAACATGAAGACGCTAGTTCTGACAGAGCAAAAATGTTGGCACGAACTTGGCGCCCCTCCTATATGTTGCTAGGTTGCATTCAATAGCGCCAGTGTGTTTACACCATATTTCATGCTGCATTGCTTACCTTGGTGGCGGAGAGACACAGTCCTGTCTTTGGTCCTGGAGTTTCGTGGGGTTGATGTGGGAAGCGAACCGTTCCTGGGAGGCAACATCAGGAGTCCTAGATTGTCTTCATTCAGTGTCACGAATAGCCTGCATGACATGAAGGCGCAAGTTCCGACTGAGCAAAAATGTAGGCACGAATCAAGCACCGCTTCTACATGTTGCAAGGTAAGGCAAAACCACGGAGAGCGAATGTATGTGCCAAGTAGCTCATATAGTATAACATAGCCATGCATAGTACGGCATAACAAAAAGGCGGGAAAGGAAAATTTGCGATGTGAGGGGGGGGGGGGAGGGCGAAATCAGGGGGAGAATAAAGCAATGCATAGCCTCGTATAGTATAGACGGCGCCGCCATAGTGCTTTCTGGGCGGCGAAAATTGACCCCCCCCCCCCCCCCCAAATACACTGCCGAGAGTCTTCGACTTCAGCCTTCGAGCTCTCGCACCCAGCCTAACATGGCGAAATTCTTTTTTCCTCCGGTAAAAAGGTGTATAGTTTAGCAAAGAGAGGGAGAAAGACACTAGAGTGAGAAGTGATTTGTGTGTTAAGAGGAGGTAATTAACGAGAGTGTAAATTCCAGCATTTTTTTGATCGAGCGATTCTTGGAAGGAGGGAAGAAGACACCTAAAATCTGTCTGCCTCTTGGGCAACACAGCACAGCGTCTTGTAGGGCGGGGGGATGGGTAAAAATAATAGTGGAAAGATGTAGATAAGAAATAGGACAGGGCAAGGGACAGAAAGAAGGAGATAGGAAAGATGGGAGCCGCTCGAAAAAGTCCGAGGACGAGGCAGCACATGGCGAGAGCTGCGCTGGAGTCTGAGAACGCGGGCGGCACTACCGCACAGCTTGAAATCTTCCGAGCGATTACCACCGTATAGCAATGTGTACTATAGTATAGTAAAGGTATGCAATAGGGAAGTGAGGGAAAAAACAGGAGTGACGTCAGCGTGATAAGGGAATGCAGGAGGAAAAGCCACCAACTCGGCTGTTTCCTCACTATGGCATTTCTTTTTTTTTTTGCACTTCTCTTCATAGTTCGATTCCGTGTTAGTCCACTACACCAGTACGTAAACTCCTTTAAGGGCACAGTGTAACAGAGGCTACCACCAAAGCGACCAGAGTTCTGAACTGTCGTTGTCCACCACAGGCTGCTACTGTGCTTCCCCGCGACATCCCATCAACACGGGGGAATTAATTTGGGATCGCAGATGCATCCAGTGGTATCTTGGGATCATAGAGGGAAGCAGTGTTCCCTCTGTGGCGAGGGGGGATGTTTTGATTTTACAGAACTTGAATTCACTTCGACATGAATTTTAGTTCTTGGATATTTCGAAAAGTTCGATACGAATGGATGAACGTGCATCTTGCCGCAGCTAGCTTTTTCTGTAAATGTAGTTTCACTGCAACATGAGTCAGTGTGCCGTGAAACCATCTTTTCAGGAAAAATCTGCTCTCTTGCAAAGTTGCAAATTACGACAAATGTATGTATTACTTGAACCCGTTGGAATTTTCATTCTTTTTGTGAAGGAATTGTATGGGCCCATAAGGTTTAAGTATAGCAAACTTTATTAAGTATCGTATTTTTCTGCGTATATTAACTTGCGCGCTACTGATCCTGCTACTCTCCATTGGATTGGATAAACTTTTATTTGGTCCTCCAAAACACAGATCACTGTGTTGCGGGCAGCTCCCACGTGGGGACTGAGATGCCAAGCTCCTCAGCCGCCTCCATACTTTCTTCCAATTTGGCTCACTCACACCATGGAGGCGACATTTGCACAAGGAAGAAAGAAAGAAAAATAACTTTTATTTTCGTTGTGCGGAACGCACAAGCCCAGTTTTAATGCTTGAAAATAAGTAGTGCAAGCTGGCCGAGTAATTATGCAAATGCTCAAGTTTTTTATGATATGTCATACAAATACTACGCGATTCATTCGACATTATTTGAGAAAACCACTATTCGCCCATCTTCATGTCATGGTGATACACAATTACACAAAAACGAATAATACCGCAGGAAGCAAAGTAAAAAGACAGGAAACGTGTTAAAAAAACACCATACAGAACATGCTGCAAAATTTCAATAATACATGGGTCAACTACCATGACCTTTTATTTGTGTAATTTTATTTGTGCAAGTTATTTGTGTTTTCCTTTTTCCTTCATTATTCATATGATGTATATATATATATATATATATATATATATATATATATATATATATATATATATATATATATATATATATATATATATATATATATGTGTGTGTGTGTGTGTGTGTGTGTGTGTGTGTGTGTGTGTGTGTGTGTGTGTGAATCATATGCGCATGCATATCAGTACATAACTGCGCATTGTACATTTTAATGTACTTGAAGTGCCCAATATATTTCTTTCCATTTTTTTGTTTTTTCTTCTTCTCTGGCTTTGTTCTACTTTTTGTTTTGTTTTTGTCCTTGTTTTTCTTTTCGTTTTTTTTTCTTTTTTTCTCGTTATTTATCTTTAGCAAGTGTATAATTAGGTACATTTAACCTTGTAGTGCACTTGCGCCTGTAGTGAATGCACTATGGTATCCATTTGTAACTGTTTAGCGACTATTAATATGCACTTTTCCCCACTTTTATCAGGTGCTGTACCCTGTCGTTTCGCCGCCGATGGGTGGCTGGGGCTTTGTCAAGCTGTCATTGGACAGGTTTTTTCCTGGCCACCTTTTTTCACCATAAATGTTTTGTCTTTTTGGTGAAAATAAAATTCTTTGATTGATTGATTTCTGTTGATGGCGAGATAAATAACGGCGCATTTCTTAGAGGTGTCATGATTGGAACAATTCTTCAATCACAGTGCTATGTAAGGCTTCTGTATCACTACACACTAGGACAAAATTTAGCTAATAACTCTGACTGCCAATATATCGATTTCCCCCTCCCTCCGGGTGCAGGGAACGGGTGTGAATGCAGTATTTACGCTGCCGCCACCCCCAATTTCAAACCCTTGCACTCAAAGATTGAAGCTCAGGTACATATTACATTCATAAAAGTGTATCGCCCCCCCCCCCCCCCCGGGACCTAATACCCAGACCTGCTTACGCGCCATCCTATGGTGTCTCGCAGTTAACAGCTGAAAAACAAAAAACAAATGTACCCCACCTGTTTTATGCTATATGACAGATAATCATTTGCTATAACCAACGAGTATAAATCCAATATCACAGACGTTTCAACAAAGCAAATGGTCTAGAAAACCTAAGTGAAAAGAAAAAGAAAGATTGCGATATAGACCACGAAACATTTACTCGGTGCTTTTGAGTACATAGGGTCATTCGTCAGTACGCGATAAATGACGACGGGTGCACGGCTGTTCTAAAACGCCGACGAAACGAAGGCGCGTTAACTTCCTCACAATAAACATCGGATGGCTGCTGCAGAAATCTGGCGTCATCAGATGAGATGGTCCTAAATGAGTGCAAATATTTAAATAAATGCCGGGGAAAGCACTGCATGAAAAAAAAAAAAAGATGGCGCGGAAACAGTGCGCGGCGATCTGGCGGGAAAAATGAGCTTGGAAAAAAAATGGCGGGCAAAGGACCCCCCCCCCCTCCCTTCCCCCTGATCTCTTTTTTTTTTTTCCTCTCTAAGATTTATCTCTCTAGCGGCGACAGAAGTAAGCATGCAGGATGACACTTGTTTCATTTATTCTAACGTTTGTGCTCTCGCACATCAAAATACAAACACAGGGGTGCACACGCCCCATTAAATCAGGTCCTGTTTACACGCTTCCTGCTACGGGCTCGTACTGATCTGCAGATGACGCTGCAAAATCACAGCAGCTCACCTATCCTAAGCTGCCTCACAGATAACCATTAGCTGCAGCGACCTAAACCCAGATTCTTAAATTTTCTGGGAACTAACTTGAAAGTCTAGGTGAAAAATGGAAAAGAAAAGAAAACGACGTCGAGATCGAATATGCACCAAGCGCTTTGAATAGATAAGAGTCCTTCGTCAATACACGATAAGCGCAGACATGTGTAGGGCTGTATTCAAAAAGCGGACGCACTGTGCGGAACATTTGGCATCGATAAGTCAAACTCATTTCCTCACAAGAAAGCTCCGAAGATGCAGCCAAAATCTAGCTTTATCGAGTGAGCTGGTCTTAAGTATAGATATACAGATAAATTCCGGAGAATGGCTGCCCGTAAAAAGAAAAAAAAATAGTGTGACAACAGCGCGCGACAATTAGGCGGGAAGACAAGAGTTCCCGTTAAACTACGGCAAGCTGCAAGAAACCGTGGACCGAGAAACCACCGAGAACAGTTACACGACTGCGCGTTCCGAATCACGTAAAACACGCTTAACAAATTGCTGCATACTATTAGAGTGTATGGCGCAAGGCGTCACTTACCGGTCGAAAGATGGCGGCCTCATTATCCGAGCAGAAGGATGACCGGGCCCATACAGACGAACAAACAGACGGACGATAATGAATGACGAAACACACACACATGCAGTTAAATCACCTTGGTCTTCTGTCGCAGTACAACAAAGTTCTTCCCTAAGTTTTGTCAAGCTGGTATTGATGACCCTAATAACGCACACGGAGATTATTAACGCTCGCGACCGCTAACTACACGTCTATCTAAAAAGGCGGGAAACAGCGCCTCTCGATACTCCGACGAGATCTCTTGTGAAAGTTCCCTCGACCACACCAGCGAGCGCGCCTCCTCTTAATGATACTGCGCGGTTCGCGCTTATTACACCTGACATGCTAATTACGGTTATTAGGGTCCAGCAAAGGAATAACGGGGAGCTGACAAACACACGTCCACCCCGCTTGCTTGATCCCGGGCAACTGGCGACCTGGCACCTAAACACGGCAGGCGAAGCGGTCATGGTCCCTAGGACGATTGCGTCACTTGTTTTTCGTTTCATGGAAAAACCGTTTTATCTAGGGAATTCTTATCTACTTCTGGGAATGGTTATCCCGAGAATCCGCCCGTTCGCCCCTTTCTCGGCCGCTGACCCGATTTCAAATTCTCGCTGCGCTTATAGTTTGATAGATGGCAATTTTTTTTATGGTAACTACCTGGACGTTTGCCTGGCGCAAGATACTGCAGTGTCGAATCGATGATTATGAAATAGCCACATGCACACACAAATCATACAGCCCGACAAGAGGACCGTGACATTCGAGCTCAAAACGCAATGGACGATGACGAACAGACGAAACGTAACCTACAAGTTTGGTGTGTCTCGTTTGAAATTTGCGGCTCGGTGGGCTCAACGAATGGTTTGTACATGAAGCTAGATGAGTGTACGGTCGGTTGTCTTCGAATAAATCATAGGTACTAGCCGGAAAAACGTAACAAAAACTAAGAAGGCGCAGGACTGGTGCTGCTGAAACCTTCACCGATTCAGTCTTCACCGGTCTTGTACACGGCGTTCTGCGTCTCACTCACCTCTTGTTTCGCGTTGGTGCTGTTATACCAATGAACTACGCGTTACCAACTGGCTTATGCCGCTAAATGTTACTCACTGGAGATGGCGTCGTTACATTCTGAAGCGATATGTCGGAGGCCCACGTAGCTCGTGTCTTCCGCGATTTCAGTGCACGTTAAAGAATACCAGATGACCAAAATTTCCGGAGCTCTGCACCACGGCCCGATATTAATTATTAGCTACATTTTGAAATAACTTATTTCCGTGAAGTGATCAAGCTTTGCGCAGTCATTTTCTGTATGCGTGTGTGCTTTAAAGTGTACGCACGAGTATGCTAGCAGACGGACAAAGTACTTTATTAAGGTCTTAAGTATGTTAACGCCTTTGTGTGCGTGTGCTGTGTGTGTGTGTGCTGAGTATGTGTGCTGTGCGTGTGTTGCTTAATTGTGTGCGTGCACTCGCGTGATATTAGGGAGCTTTAGAACAGCGTTTGCCCATAGCTTGGCGAACAGCTGCAGCCACACGCGCTGCATGCTATGACGCTATTTTGGATTTTCTGCGGGCGGACCACAAGCGCGAACGGCGGCTCACGTTACGACGCATGCGCAGCGACTGCACCGCAAGGGCTTGCGGTGCACTATACTGCACTCGCGGTGCGGTATTCTTCCTACTCTCTGCGGACTGCGTGCGTGATAGAAGGCATTGAACTGACCGCTGCTATGAGCAAGAGCACCTGCTGTCTACCTGTCTGTAGTGTTTTACAATGCCGGATAATTACCATACCGTCGTTGTCGGCTCGAGTCTGAGCGGCCTCGTGCCATCTGCGCGTTTGATGCTGCCTGCGTCCGCTGTGGCCTCTGCTGTGTCGTCTGCTCTAGTCAGCTCCGTCCAGCGACACAGGCCACAGCACCGATCTAATTCCATCTTCAGCAGTATAGTTAGGTAAGCAATTACACCCATTTCCGTTATGATGCCACTTGCTGTAATGAACTACCCGAGCGCGCACGCATATTAATTATAGGCCCGCGTCGTCGTTCCGCCGCGGTTTTTTCTGACGAGTATCATGCGCGTTTGCCCGAATTTTCGGGAATACGCGCGCGTTTCATGTGGCTCAGAACGACGACGACAAGAATCTGGGTGTGAAAACAATGCGGAATCTAGAAACGTGCTGAGAAGTGGACAGAAAAGCGAGGAGAGAGTAGGAGCGCATCGGAAACTTCCCATGCCTAACTTTAGATGGCCGCACAGTTATGCGCACCGCGCCGTCACCCGCCAGCTGCCCGAATGAAATCGTTTGGACAGTCTCGGGCCGCCAGCAGACATCCAGTCTCGCGGAAAACGAACATGCTTCCGAGCGGTCCCGGGCCAGTGGGTCCGTTTTGGTCCCCGAGAACAACGAATGCGTAGCCCGGGGCCGTCCGGACAGAGCCGATCCCGGAGGCTGTGCAGAAGACTTGATGGAGAGATGCGGCTTTCGTACGTGTTTCGCCGCGTCAGTGGAGCCTAGGCGCTGTTGGGCGCAGCAGGTATGGGTCGAAGGCTCGTTGTGACAACGCCCGAAAAGTTGTGCGCTTGTGCAAAATGCTAACGAGCGCTGGTTGAGGCGGTAGTAGTGATCCGCCTACACACAGTGGAATGAACTCAACATTTTGTTTGATTCTTTTTTTCCAACGAAACAAATATACGTCATAAATAAAAACAGAATTTTATAAACATGAATGCAACCCCGCAGCTTGTAAAAAAAAGCCACATCATATTCATGGGGTGAATGATGAGTGAGGTGAGGCGTCCGTGCCGTCCGTGCTTTCGTACAGCTTCATCCTACTCTTCATCATTCACTTCGTGGATATTCTGTGAAAAACACTATGCCATCTAGTTATATTATTTCCAAAGACATATACACACAATGCCATTTATTGAGCTAGTCATAAACCAGAGGTGGCTACATATACTACATACAGAGGAGGGAACGACCCACGGCCTAAAGAGCTTCGCCCCTAAAAGTCCGGTAAGCGCTCTAGGCGTTATGCTCCTAAGCTCAATGTCGCCACTGGTAACCGCATTTCGATGGAGATAAAGTCATGCAAAAACGCCTGTTTATGTACAAGGATCTCAGGTATCATCGCTCTCAGTATGAACTTCACCACGGCATCGTGTGACCAAGTACAATGTAAAGTTTTACAGTGAAATGCGTTTTGGGGGGGGGGGGGGGGGTTGAATGTTCCTGCGGGTTCGTGTCGCCTCCACACGCTTTCGAGAAGCGCCAGGATCTGTGTACGGTGTTTAAAGAATTGTGCATGAAAATCCGCGAAAATAAGGGGGAATGGAATATTGGCCCGGTGGTTTCTCAATTACTTTTTTTCATAGCAGCTAACATGGAGAGATGGCTATAGACACTTGTAATGCAGGTATAATCAAAGAAATAAACGACCCTTTTCATTGCAGTGGATTCAGGTGGTCGGGTGATATGGTAGAATTGATGCCGTTTCGGTGAAGTACCTACCTGTCTCCGCTTTGAGTTGTAAGGAAAGCGGCCATGGATAACTTAAACGCAGTATACCAACCTGGCCAATTGCGCCGCCTAAATGGAAACGAAAGAGGGCGATCGCTACACATTGATTGAGATGTCTTAGACATCGCTTGCTGCTAGTAAAACAGAGCCATGGCCGCTTACAGAGAGCTTGCTTACTTTTATACTTCCAACTTAGGCAAACTGAGTGCTTCTGAAACAGTTTGGCGCTTTTGTAAGAGTTACATATACATTTTGCACCCCCGTCACAGTAATAATTTAAATGTTGAAGCAGAGACCGAGTAGCGGCACTCGCAGCGCCAGCTGTAACTAAACTCCTTGGATGGCTCGGACAAAAAGAGAGATCTACACTTTAACTGTAATGCGAATCGAAGTAAGGAAAGATGATGAAGAACTAGAAATGCGCATCTAACTGAGTTATGTGTACAAGCGCCGTTGCAGCATGCGGGGTGCCCAATCAACCGCACCGCTGCAAATTTAATCCCAAGAAGAGTTTTCCTGTTTTTCGCTGTGGCGAAGTGGTGTCGTTCTTCACTTGCTTCTTATAAAGTGGGCGAGTAATCAAATTGCAGTCCTGCGCGGCGGTGTTAGGTAATTTTCCTGATTATATACTTGCGGATCACTTTGCGACAGCATTAATAAATTACCAGTTCTCTACATGACGTGCGTGTGACGTGTCAGGTGTTCGAGTGTGAGCTCGTGTTGGCGTGGAAAGACGCGTTCCTGTGTCTGACAGTGAGTTTTTTGCGTCGTGCTGTATTGCATTCTTTGGACTTACCGAGCCCGTGCAAGGCAAACTTCTCGGGCTGTTTGTGTGCATTATCACCGATTAGTTAAAACAGTGATCGCCACATATTCTGTTGCTCACTTGGTGGGCGGTTACACGCACTGGTATCCCTTTTCAGATCACATTTATTTGTTTGTTTGTAGTACCCTCCGGGTATAGATACATTCACAACAGCAAAAGATGAAGCCATCGTTATTGCGATTCTAAGTGGCAAGTGTGTATCAACAGACATATAGACTAATGAAACACAGTCTCCTATTTAACCTGTAGATCACTTCTCTCCTTCTAAAAATTTAGGAGGAATGGAGAGAATATATGACTGAATGTGCAATTTCTCAATTTTTATGGCACAATATTCCAGCATAACAAGCTGGTTTCACAAAGTGGTGATTCTTTGTGTGCAGTGGAAAGCATTTAAAAACATCACCAAATGCACCTGATCCCATGTTTGCTCTGTAGCAACTCGAACTTTAGATGTCGTTTTCTCCGAACACTACTTTTCATCAGAAAAAGAAACATTTTTCTTATAGGCATTGAAGCTACCAAATGCAAACTTTTGTGACTTGTTTTTTAATACCACACACCCTTTCTGAAGCAGATTATGTTGTTTCAAGAATTTTTTTCACTAAAGTTTTCATTGAGCAAACCATCCTGAAGTTCTAATCATATAACATTTATACTTTTAACTAAATAATGGTGATGCCTACACTTGTTATTTTGGTTCCGAAGGATACCCTGGGCACATATAATAACTAGAAGAGATGTGACCATTTTACAGTGAGTCTTTTTCACAAATGCTTCCTTCGAAAATGTAAACAGATAAATAATTCATTTATTTTAAAGTAGCTTTGCATTTTCTTAACGAATTCACAAAAATATAGTAAAACCCCCATTCAAGCAACTTGCAAAGTTTTGTAAGGTTCGCTTTAAAAATAGCAGAGCGATGAGCCAGTAGCAGTTGCGCACTTGTCTGTGCTATCCATCCCCATGGTGGATTGGTGGTTGTAGTAGGGTCTGATGTGCAGGGGTCTATAGGCACTACATGTTGTGCTCATTACTTATTAACCACCTGAGAGCTTTAGCATTGAATTGAATTTGCAAATGGAGGCTGATTAGATTCGTGTGTTTTATGCTCACTGCAGATTCATCCTTTGAGTGGGCTCATCGAAGGTGTGAATGCAGGTTACAGTTGAAGGGAGCAACCTGGGAACGAGCCAAGAGGCGATCTACGATAAGATCAAAATTGGCGGGATTCCTTGCAATCTCACTGAATACAATGTGTCAGTGAGGTAAGCATTTGTGTTATTTCATTTGAAAGCAAGAAACAATTAATTTAATCTCAGCACTTCTATGTCATATCAGTGCTTTTCCCAAGTTCTTCAACAGAAAGAACACATCTACTGCAATACCAGCTCACTATAACTTCCTAGGTCAACCTTGATGGCCGGCTGCTTTGATCTTATGTTCCAGGCATTGATATTTTTTCTATTCTTGTGATTGCATTTATTAGCATTCCTCCCTCCTTAAATGTGAAAGTAACACAAAAGTAAAACAGGAGTGACCTATAGCAAACTTTCATACAATTTCCTGTCAATTAACCTATAATGAGCAAAATTTAGTCACAAATCCTTCTAAATGAAAGATGGTAAAAAAAATGCAGGTATTAATCATGCCGCTGTCACTGCATTGAGGGGTTCGACATATTTATTGGTGTATTTTGCGACTCTGCCCCAAGTGAGCCGGGGTCGTCTGCAGGATCGGAGCAAGTGGGTTGCCGCTCGGGGCAGACGTGGTCCTTGGGAATCGTGCTGGCATCACACAGGCGAAGAAAAAGTTCCAGTATTGACAAGCCATGGTGTGCCACCTTCGGCCTCACACTGGACTCCAGTCCGGAGGCACTCGTCTCTGCATCAGCGGATCGAAGCTCAACGTCGACAGCAACCTCACAGTGTACCTCGACAACCTCACTTGTACTGTGGACAAGTGCGTTGCTCTTCTTTCTGCATCTTCCGTACTTTGGTTTCACAGCATATCCTGCGAAAGGGGGGAGGGGGGAAGAAGTACATGCTTCACAAGTGTTTTCGTGCCGTTATTTCTGTTGCAGAACATTAGCCAGCAACAGCCAGATATCATGCAAAAATGAGCAACACCACTACACCAAAGTACAATGTTTCTTACTTAATCCTAAAGATCGACAATGCCACCCTGAGTGTACAAAGCCCTTTCAATCATCTCGGAAGACCCAACCATACTCAAGATATCACCGCTTAAAGGCTTTGTCAGGTTAGTGCATTATCTCTCTGCTGTATCACTGATGTGACATTCGTAATCAGTGGTGCAGTAGACTCTTGGTAAACAAAAACATCTTAAATAAAACTGCTGCTAAAAATAAATAGGAATGCCTTTAGTATAACTGGTTTCATATCCACATTCTGCGCCCATGTTGATCCCTCTGTAAACAAAACTCCTGCTCATTGAACACATTTTCTTGGTCCTAGCGGCTTTCGTTTTACGATCGAGGTCTACTGCTTTCACATTTTCAGAGCTCTGATTGTTAGTGATTCATTAGTGCGCCTATAGTGCACGCAAGCAGAACTACTTCAACATTAAATGCGTACCCCTTTATCCACATAATATTTGGGGCTTTACATGCCAGAACCACAATAAAAATATGAAGCACTAACCTGAAAGAGGTAAGGGAACAAATTTATACATTCATATTCTGAATGTTTACTGTGAAGAAATATAACATTTGGATTTTAAGATTACAAATAAGCTTCACCAATGTGTGGCAAAAAAACATCTTTAGCAGCACCACTGCCTATGCATTGCACATCTATTAAATCTTAGTTCCAAAGAAACCCAAGCTTTCATAATGCAACGCATAAACTTATATGATTGCAACTAGCTTGCAGCTTGTCAAAATATAGAAAATTGTTCGGCTACATGCATAACTATGGTACACTGAAATTTTGTTTTAACAGACTCCAAAATTGCATGAAAAATTGTTTCAGAAGTTTTCAATAAGAATAGGTGAAGAAGTTCTACATTAGTTCTAATTTGCAGCTGTACTCACATGCAATTTTTTTTCCAGTGGTTGTCAGATTGCGGTGGTCACAGGTAGCAACCTTCACGCTGTCCAGCAGCCACGAATGGCAGTCTTTTACAAAAACCAAATCTTTACTGAAACAGTAAGCCCCCCCCCCCCCCCCCTTGCCTATCATATTCTGAGCATGTTAGAATAGTCATTGTTTTAGTAACTTTCCACCAATTTGTGGCTGTATTCGGTCGAACTGCACAAAGCATGTTTTAGTCCATTTTGGAGAGCAAGCCAGGAATTCATTTCCAAGATTATTTTCCAATTTGTTTCCAGATTTCCACCCGTCAATGCCAAAGCATACCGCCAGCTTCCCAGCAGTGACAGGCAGAAAAGCCTGGGCAAAGACAACCGCATTGCAGGTGAAAGCCACACTGGTCTCCGCACAAGTTGAAAAAACGACCAAGATGCTGGTGGTCATCAGGACGAGTAGGCGCTTCCGCACTGGTTTTTCCATGGAAGACGTCAGCGGTGTGCCCTGAGCTGCCCCTTCACTCAAACCTGGTATACGTGCCGAATGCTCAGCTCAATCGCTTTCATGGCTCCACTATCAGGTTAAATCCTATAACAGCAAGCACAATGATAAGTAGGAAAGAATAAAACAATGATACTTTCTTAGATGCGTGCTCAGAGTTTAATATTTTAGCTCTACGTACTTTTTCTTTTTGCCGAGTGGAAAGTGATTGTATTCCTCTCATTACTTAGTGCCAAGCGATGCGCGGTCTGTATGCAATGTTGGGATGTTTTTAACTATACACGAGCATATGTAAATGTGCCTGTTTCTAAATTATTTTACCCTGTATTCCATGATGTGCAATAGATGTTTATTTATTTATTTATTTACACATACTGCAGCGCTAAGTGCGCTATGGCAGGAGTGGGTGTACAAAATACGCGGAATTTTAACAGACGGGAATGAAAATTATGTAAACAGGTAACATAATACAGATGTGTGGTTATACAAGGTCAAAAGTGCACAAACATGTGATTAACATGAATGAAAATAGAATAAAGAAACAATGCAACTCAAGAGCTAGCACCAATGGCAAATAGATGAGGGTATGTTACAGACGCATGTCATGGATGTCAGCTTGAAAATTGGATGATGGGCGTGAACGAATAGTACCAGGTAACGAATTCTAGTCTTCAATAGAACGGGGGAAAAAACCGAACTTGAACATGTTAGTTCGAGCATAGTAAGGCGTTAAGTTTATGTTACTTATATTATCACTTTCCTCTCCTAAAACGGTACATACACACATACAAAGAACTTCATTTGAACACCAGAGGGACTAGTTGAACGAGGTACTAAAGCCCCCTCAACCAGTCGGCGGCTCCACCTAGGTCGGCACAGGAAGGTGAAAACCCTCCACGATTGCCCGGGCCTTCCGGACAGCCAGTAGTTGTAGACCCAAGTCCGGGCCGTGTAAGCTCTCCCACCACGAGTCTTCATCACATAAATCAGCGCCCACATTCGCAGGGCACTGCCAGAGCACGTGGGTTAGCGAACAACTCTTGAGGCCACAACGAATACACCCTTCGTGAAAGTACGGCTCTATCTTGTGATACCTTCATGGGCAGAGATATGTGCCCATCTGTAGGAGTCAAAAAGTGATTCCCTGAGCTCTGTTGAGTCTAGCATTAGGAAGGGGATAACGCCTTCGACTGGGCTTATAGCTGGACGTAATCTCATGGAACGTTGTCAAAGGATCTTTTCTGAAGTTAATGTCCCCCCAGGCGCTTCACCATCTCCCACACGGTTGGTGCATTCACATGCAAGGGTGTGAGCGCTGGCATTAGGATTAACCCCATCAATGTCTTCAACGTGCGCTGGAAACCAAGAGATATTGCGACCACCAACCTATTTAGCCTGTCTGCAACCACGTAGGTTCAAAGTCACAGAAGTGTCGTGTCGCAACTACAATAAATTTATTTTAATGCTTGAAATGGCATTTTACCAGCCATCATCACAATGAGTTATCTGAATCAGCAAGTTATTTAAATCATGCTTTAGCACTAGCATCTTCGAAAAGTCCGTCCATTCAAGGTGCAGCTATAGCGCAGCGTGCGTAACTAGTATCACCATTCTGCCAACAGCGCCACCACCGCGTTGCTCGAAACCAAGCAGTGGCTCCGAGCTCCCATTGGCGTCGCCTCCCAATTCTAGCCGCCATGCTCTGGGGTTTAAAGGCCATGGCCAATCTGGAGGCGCGCGCTCGCTTTCTTTGCGGTTTGCGCATGGGGGGGCTGTTTCTATCTATCGCCACAACCTTACGGGGGCGCTCAGAGCCAAATCACTGCCAGCCACGTGGTTTTTGAAGCCGGAAAGAGTAACATGCTTTTTGCTGCCCTGTTCGCAAGAATATGCACAGTCAATATGACCGACTTCTGACTTCCCCAAGACTTCACTGCGAATGACGTCAGGGCTTCTCCTCGATTATTTTCTTTCTCCTAAAAGCATCCTTTCAAACCCACATTCGGTTTCATGTTTGAAAAATTCGGACATGATGATACCTAGAATGAGCCACTGTCAAAAAAAAAAAATGGGAGGGACTTCTAGCATACATCATAGATTTATAGGCAAATCTATGGCATCCCAAGCCAATCTTTTCTGAAGCTGCTTGCACCTCACGTCCGTGTCAGATTTCCTATGATGCTCCTGTTTAATCTCTTTTGGTGGACTCAAGCACAAAAACTGAAAATGAACGAGTGCGTGTCTGGCGTCCACCAGCCAACCCTTTCAGAGGCCACCTTCTCATCTCCCCATTCCCCCGCCCCCCCCCCCCTCGTTCTCCACACGCTGGTCACGATTCTGAGCATGCTTCTGTTACATTTTTGTTGGCCAAGCCTCAAGATTTACGCGAAGTTCTTCCCGGTCTCTTTTCCTCTGACACAGCCACTACATTGCAAAAGCAAGTGCTCCAAGATTCTTAGGGCTCCTTACAAGATTTTTGCAGGGGGCCTTAAGGCATTGTGACCATGGCACAGTCTGTCCAATTCAGAAAAGTGTCGATAATGGTAGTGTCGGTCGCTTCTTGAATATTTGTAAAAAATATTCTCAATAGAGACTGGTCCTGTGAATGATTTTATGTTTTTAAAAGGTTGTAGTATAATATATTTGAGTGAATGTGAAAGAGCAGCGAGAAGCTTCAACGAGCTAAGAATGTACATGAATGGGTGCACATTTGCCACCCTACACAACTGGCAAGAAGATCGTCATTGCTCTGCTGCAACTGTGTTTAACAATTTAAGAAATTCCTTCTTAGAGAGCATGCAAATTCAGCGAAATGCACAGCATAATACATATGCTTAGTTTGTATGCAACCACAGACACTCCTTACAAACGTAAATCTTTCACATAACTTATGTAACAACAGCTAATGATGTTAACAATGAGGTCTGCTCGTTACCCTGAGCCTTCAAGCCAGGTTATGGACACTGGCTACAGGAAAGGCAGCCTATATGACCTCATGCATTAATCCCTTTGAATTGAATTTGCCTCAGTAAGGTAAACTTGCTGGTATGTACTTTAAATAAGAAAAGTGACATTGTAAAGATAAGTATGCTTGTGTGTTTTGTGTCAACTTAATTATCTTCCTATAGGTGCAGAATGACTGAGAATATCCATGCCAGAAACACGCTTCGCTGGACACATCTGATGATACTTCGTGAAATTATTGCTTGATAAACCTGCAATACTTCAAACAAAATTTTAAAAGTAGTACTACTAGGTGCACCCGAAAAAACCGGCCACAAACACACATCCAGAATATTCAATTTCTTTTCAATCAAGCGTGAAAAAGATATTTCGCTACAAATATTGTGCACAATCCCTGGTATCTTGGAATGCAGCACTTACAAAAGCTGCAAGTGTGCACCCTTTAATACTGATATGATCTTGCTGTCTAAGACATGCAGAATTTCATAGATGTAATCTTTAATTTGTGCCTCACTCATTTATTTCTGTAATTCAACATGGTTAATGTCACAGTGTACAAGCTAACCATTTCAGTTAGAAGCCGGTACAGAATACTGTGTCTACTATTTCCAAGACCTGAGTTAAGTACCGTTTGCTGAAAAGTAATTTTGTTTAACACAGCAGTTTATTCACAAGCTGCCTATGAATAATTTATTCCCATGTCCTCCCAACTAACCTACATGGCCAGTTGTTAACACTGAGTGGCTTCTGAAATTCAGTTTATTTCTGGTAACACTCGCTCCTCCCGCACATCTTGCTCTCGCTTATCGCTCCACTTGTCTGGCTTCTGTTTCTTGCATCTTCCACGGTCACGGCCTTCTCACTTCGTGCAGAGCCACTCAGTTTACAGCCGTGCATGGATTGTAAGGTGGGCCTACCCAAACTTTGGCTCGGCATTCTTTCGCACAGATTGGACAGTGCTGGGGATAATGGCCTTTGCAAGACACTTTTCGCGCAACTTCATGCAGCTATGCCGCGCAAATTCCTTTTTGCGCATGAGGAAAGCATGTCACACATTGGCCGAGTGCTTCATCACAAGCTCGGTTGGTCTTGCGTGCGACGTTGTCGTCGTGCAGTACAGTTGTGCAACAGCCTTTGCCACTGCATATTAGTTGTAGCTAACACTGCACGTGTACTGTGGGATGATAAAGCAAAGTTCCCGCCACAGTGTCGACGTTTGCGAGGTTGTTCTCTTGTGTGACCTTAGGTGTGCCCAAGCTTTCTCTGCAAAAAAAACCAAAAAAAAAGCGAGAGAGAAAAAGGTCAATCTGGCAGATGCTATGCATGAACAGTCACTTGCAAGCATTCGCCCTCTCATCGTCAAAAAGTGCTTCCTGGAAAAGAACACAGATAAGAAAGAAGACGCAACAGTGGCACAAACTGAGGGCCTATTTGTAAATTGAACAAAAATGGTGCGGGAGCGAAGCCGACCTAACTTGCAACTGAATTTCTACGATGCGCTAAAGGAATTGCCAAGTGCTGCAAGCCCGATTGGCAACATTGGAGAATTAATCAGCAATAAAGGTACGCACACACGACCCCGAATGTACCCGAGAGGTTGCTCGTACTCGTAATTTCCGGTATGCAATTATTTTCTATATCGTAGAGAGCGTCCTACGTAACACTTCTCTGCACACACACACACACACACACACACACACACACACACACACACACACACACACACACACACACACACACAGCCAATGGCAGCAAAAGCACAAATGCTACTGACAACTGTTTATTAGAAGGAAGTGGCAAGGCCCATACTCCAAAGCTGAGGCTGCACGTAGCACAGCAGACTGTTGTTAAAGCGGAATTCACATGAGGGAGAAATAGACAAGAGATAAAGGCAGAGGCTAGTGACGTCAATAGGCGAGGATAAGTCCCCTCAAGTGTCCCTTACTCACACGGACGAGGCGAACGCTATAGATATCGGCAAGCTTTCGTCTTGGGGAGGGGGGGGGGCTTTAAAGCTGCGTTGTGTCTTAAATGGAGAAGGAGGAGGAAAGTGCTTGTGTTGCTTGGGAGAGGAAAGTGCTGGTGTGGTTTGAGAGAAGTGCTGGTGTGGTTTGAGAGAAGTGCTCGTTTTGCACCCCCCCCCCTGCCGCTTGCTGCTGATAGAAACTTTCTTGTTTAT